ACCAGTATGCTTCGTTCAGTTACGTATTGCTGTAAAATCGCTACGAAACCGTTCTCAGATATTTAGAATGGAAATAGTCAATACATGTATTTTTTAACAAAAAATAAACTTGGGTGGGATTATTTGACTGAAACCAACCAAATCTAGAAAATGTTTATTTTTTAAAATTAATCATACATTTTTGCAAAAAATGATGAAACAGTTTTTCCATGAACTTTTTTGGCACAAAACATTTCAAATTTATGATTTCAGTCTAATAACTAACTAGTCAACATGTTTAATTTATGTCAATGATGACAGGTATTGATAATTTCGATTCCAAATATCTCGAGCAATACTCGTAGCGATTTTTACTAAAGGCCTTTTTTACGTAAAAACATTGCGAATGTATATTTTTTACTCAGTAGTTTTATACAGGTACAGATGAAAAGTTACTACTCTTCAAAACAGTTAAAACATATGTAGGTGGCGCCACTACAGAGTAGGAGTCATATTTGCCCTCCTTTCACGCAGTTGAGCAGCTCTGAACTGTTCAAGAACGCGCGATACTCTCACTCCATTCAATTGAGTCATAAAGTTCAGAACTGTTCAGCGTCATATGGAGGCACGAGGCTATCGCGCATAGCTCCTTTCAGAACCGTTCTCGAGTAGCCCCGGGGCGTAAGCCCGGAACTCGAAGTCCGCGAATGGAGGACAGCAATTGACAGTAAAATTAAATTTCTCATGTCAAAAAACAGACACCAATTTTCATCCAAATATTAAAACAACCCTGTATATTTACATTCCAATGATAACAACAATTTTTATTGAAATTAAATTTTGGGAGCATGTATAATTTAGATCATTTTTTTAAAATATAGAGAGTTCTACAGGAGTGTCCCAAAAATTACACATCAAAGTTGTGTTCTTCAAGGAACTGTAGCTTCCTCTAGAACCCCCTTCCACTCATTCTACATTCTACAACCCGAAAAAGGGAAGAAAATGAGTAATGACGTAATAACATTATTTTTAGGATGCAACAAACTGCAACACTTTCTATTTTCATAGTAATCTCTTTATAAAATTATACATAAGGTTGTAGAAATTATTACAATACATTATCAGATACTTATAAAGCTTAAATTATGCTATGCTTTGTTTTTATAGTTGCTTTGTGGCCAATAAAATTAAAAAAGATTCGTTATCCGCAGTACTGATCTAAGTGTTCAACG